GTATTCGCCACGTCGTCGTTGCATGCCAGTGTATTGACTGAGCCACTTTCCCCATCCGCTGCCTATCCTCTCCCCACCGCAGACTCCGACTCCTTAGCACAACTGCTGTGGATTGTTAAGTCGTGCCTGTTCAATCTCATAGGGCGATTCAACCGTTCACCGAAACATAGTAGTACTTTGGCCTTTGCCCTGCTCCAACGAGCTCATCTGCTGATGCTGGCCTTGGTGGAGGTGTGCTATATCAGACATGTCGCTTATTATGTATGTGTTGCATATTACGTATGTATTGATTTTGAAGAAGGTGCATTGTATATTGAGAGGAATAAAAGGCTTGTATGTATGGGGGTGCGTTGTATATTGACTATATGCTGAATTGCATGTCTCACTTTGTCACCGTATTGTAATAGTACTTCGACCGTTGCACTGCTCAAGGGCCCACCTGCTGATGCGGGCCTTGCAGGAGGTGTGTTTTATATCAGACAAGTTGTATATTATTTAGTGTCGCTTATTACGTATGTGTTGCTGCATGTTATGAAAGTGTTACAATTGGGGATAGCGTTGTATATAGAAGCAAAAGTTAGATGTATGTTACAAATCGGTCGCATATTTCAAATGTTGCAAAACTGTCGCATACTTCAAGAGCGGATGAACGTGGCTGCCCGTCGATTGTAGACTCGCACACCCGCTCCTGAAGTATGCGACAGGTTTGCTACATTTAAAATGTGCGACAGGTTTACAGCACTTAAAAATATGCGACAATTTTGCGACATATATATATGCAACTCGCTCGCCAAGGGATTTGTGTGAACTTGGTTTATCCGTTGCAGCCCCAAACTTGCGTTTATGCATACCTCCATGGTCAGTTATCCACTTTTGCCGGCGCATCGATCATTCGAATCCAATAACGGAACACACCAGATTCACTCAACTTACCCTCATTTTGGCATTTAATACACCCATTTTCATCGCTATTTAAGGCAAACTGAAACTCTCTCGACTTACCTCAATTGGCATTTAATACACCCATTTTCACCGCTATTCCAGGCAAACTGAAATTCACTTGACTTTCCCCAATTGGCATTTAATATACCCATTTTCACCGCTATTTTAAGGCAAACTGAAATTCACTTGACTTTCCCCAATTGGCATTTAATATACCCATTTTCACCGCTATTTAAGGCAAACTGAAATTGACTTGACTTTCCCCAATTGACATTTAATATACCCATTTTCACCGCTATTTTAAGGCAAACTGGATATCCAAACAGCTGTACAAAGTGGCAGAGGTGTTCGAAATATTGACCTGTGGAGATGTAGCGAAACTGTTATCGGCTGTAGGGCAATATATTCTGGACCGGCCCCCGGTCCCAATGTCTGATGAAAAGGTGCGATTGTGACTCGCGAATCATTTTTGGGTGGTGTGTGCAGTAATTGCGCTCCATTTCAATGACGAAGTACAAAAAAAAATCGGTGGCTGTTTAGGTGCTTTCATTCTGTAAACATATATCTATCCGAATACCAGTTGTTTGTAGACTGTTATATACTTTCGGCAAGGTTGTCTGTTTCTGTGTATG